TCGAACTAGCGGAGCGCTAGTGTAGCGCATAGGAAAGTTAGTTCGAACTAACGTCCGTTAGTTCGAACTAACTTTCTAGTGTAGACATACCCAGAGAGAGGCAGAAAGTGAGAGAGGCAGGAGGCCGAGGAGAGCTGAGAGAGAGGGGGGGAGGCAGTAGGAGGAGAGATAGAGAGAGACCAGAGGCTCAGGAGAGAAGACCAAGGTGGAAGAAGGACCTGAAAATCCTGTCTTATGACGGACTAATTGGCTAGTATAAAAATAATAACATAATTTAATGAAGGATTAGGGAATAAAGCTCAAAGCTGTGATTTCCTTACTCATGTCTGCGTTCTTTCCAGGCCTTCTAGTAGATGTTTTTGCATTTATTTTCACTTTTTTCTCAGAAATGTGTTTAATACATATTTCTACTTAGTGAATTATATTTTGAAAGAATAAGATGTGGCGAAGGAAATAGGTATAGAACTATCACCCCTCTTTCCTGGAAGGTTCATGAGCATTATAGAAAAAATTAACTTGAATTTGATCATTATACTTAATGTTACCAAAATTTTAGGAGTACATAGGAAAACAAAAGGCAAAACAATTATATTGATATGCCTTTAAAACATCGGTATTTAGTGGTCCTTTCCTGAAGAAATTAATAATCATTAAGGTTTTACTGTGTGTACTTGTTGGAAACCAAAAATGTAGACACCGTGTAGATTCAAACAGGAGGGTTTATTACACACACCGCTGGCGGAGTGCCACTTTGCCACTTGGGCTCAGCGAACACTGCCAAGTAAATGATTACAATAATAGACTATATAGAGAGCTGATGGGAAGAGAGAGAAATGATGGGGCGGGGAGTTCCCAAGTCCTGGATAGGTTCTAGCAGCAAGAGCCAATAAGCCAAAAGTCTTAAAGATTAAATGGTTCAGGTTAACACAATTGCTAAACACAAGTATACGTCCTTGTCCTCCCCCCAAAAAGTGCGAGGCATAGCTACATTCTGATCAGGATGTGTAGGAATAGTAACAGTGCCTTCCCGATAGGTGTGGTCCATAGGTACTTATCTAGGGTTATAAAGCAAAAACCAAAACAAAGTAAGGTACGCAGTAGCAATTGTTAATAATATATCTTTGGTACATTAGCAAGTTGGGCTTGTAAATGGGGGGCGCAATCTCTAGATCCTTAGCAACAATTCGTGGTTGGCCTTGAGTGTGTCTCTTTTCCATGCAGACTGTGGGGCACCTCGCAGGGCCATAACCTTGGGTTTATATGTGAAATTAATGATAGTGGTATCCAGTTATAGCTTTCCATTTAGTGTTGTGCTGCTTAGCTTATAAACAGACAGGGCTGCTTTTCTGTGTCTGTCCTGTTTTCTCTAAGCTTCTTGTTATCTCTTTTGTTTTCAGCTAGGCCTACTAGGCCTTGTCTCTTTGCTCCAACTGAACAGCAGGCTTCTGGGGGACAGCTTAGCCACAGACCATAGTTTAAGGTTTTACCTATATATCAAAGGGCTATTGGCTACAGTGAGTTAGAAACCTGTTCCTACAGTACTCTATGCTTGAAGCCTTAAATACATTATAGTTATTTAGTATGGGCTATACTGTAACTGTAGGCACAGTCTCTTGTAAAGGGTAGCTGCTAGCAGCCCCATTTTGGAAGAGCCCAGTGAGAGAATTCCTGAAGGAAAATAATTTGATAATGGCTTTTATCAGTTTCCGATTGGAATGGCATTGTGGAGCCAAGGCTCCACCTATTCCCAACCTGCTTTCTACGTCTGGGCATGTCCCTGCAGCTGAGATATGGGAAGGCTGTGTGAGAGAGTTTGTGGAGTGTAGGTCTTAATTCCTGTAATGTTCTTGTGTCAGACTGTAGTCCAGGCTCAGGCAAAGGGCTCTGCTCTGTACAAGACACATCCTCTGCCCTAAAGGTCTTGTAGTTCACAATCTAAAGATAAACTTAGCTCACAATGCCAAAAATAGATGTAAAGATCGATCCTCTAAACTATTAGTCCTGCACCCATATTCTCTTTTGATTTCAGTCAGTTAAGAGAAGATGCAGTGGAAGTGTTAACTTAGAATACACATATGCATACATACATATATAGAGAGTTAAAATATGCTTGTGTGTATCTGTTTTTGTATTACTATCTCTATCCTCTACTTAAATGAGTAATATCGGTCATCTCTCCACATTTTTTCCTAAACCACATTCTAATCAGAGATAATCAAGATTGCATATCCTTGATATTTGTAGGTCCATAGACTTTTGTCTGCAAAAGATTAAACCCTTCAGATCTTACCTGAGGGCTTGGTTCACAACACGTTGGATCGATGCTGAAGTGATCAATCTACTGGCTGTCGATTTATTGTGTCTACTTAACTGCAGTAAATCAACTCCATTCACTCTTCTGTCAACTATGGTACTCCACCAGTATGAAACGATTAGCCAGAGTCAATGGTGAAGAGCAGCCCCTAGCAAACTTAGTGCATGAAAGTAACTTTTTAAAATAATTAATTGCCAAATTTACCCATCTGTGTGCATGCATGTGTGCAAGATCATTCATACTAATCTAGATGATTGTTTAAGAAGTATTTTTTGATATACTATGCTTTTTTTTTGTAGAAAATTTTCTTAAGAAAAATGGCACCAAGGACAACTTGTTGTGTGGCAATGGCACAGATGCTGGGTAAGTGCAATTTACAATCTTTTTTATTCTTTTTTTTCTTTGTTTCATATTTTTTTGGTTTATTTCAGTCCACCTGTGACTAATGTGAAAAGCAGATTTCAAGTTCCAAATGACAGCAGTAATGGGAACAAGGATAATGAAGATTATCAATAAATACCACTTTTCCACTGCCTACACTCTCGTGGAACACCAAACTCACTCCGTGTGCTCTGGTTGCCCTTACGGACACCACAGCATTGACAACATGGAGCCAGAGCTGCTGCAAAGCAGTGCCAGGCTCACAGGCCTCATGCTATGCCTTATGGTGCAGTTTATCCACACTGTCCACATGCTCCTTCAGAACAAAAATGACCAGCCTGGACCAGGGAACCTCTTCACCCAGGATGCAGCCAATGAGTCTCAATCTCCTGCACACTGTGAAATGCTGCTTCTGGCAGAGGGAGACCAGTTCCAACTGGTGGGACCGTATCGTCCTGCAGCGATGGGATGACCAGCAGTGGCTCCAGAACTTGTGTATGTGGAAAACCACCTTCCTGGAGCTCTGCAAATGGCTCGCCTCTGCCCTTATGTGACAGGACACTCAGCTGAGACCTACCAACCCCCTGCAGAAGCGCATCATCATCAGCCTCTGGAACCTTGCTATGCTGGACAGCTATTGCTCTGTGGGAAACCAGTTCAGCATGGGGAAATCCACGGACGGGGTCTTCCTCATGCAGGTAGTCAATGCCGTCAACACCATCTGCTGTGAAGGGTCATCACCCTGGGGAACATCTACTTCTTCTTGGGCCCCCCCTGGGGGGGGGGGGGGGCCAGAGATGTGTCCTCACATCCTATCCTGGCCCCTGGCTACTGGGCCTTGGACTATGTATACAGAAAGGGACACTTTTTGATGGTGCTGCAGGTCCTGGTGGACTATAAGGGTTGGTTCACAGACATTAACGTCCATGGTCGGGGAAGGTGCATAACGCCTGCATATTCCAGAACTCAAGCCTGTTCTAGAAGATGTACACTGGCACTTTTTTCCTGACTGCACCTCAGTGAAAGCTGAACTTTAGACCTGGGTGAGATCCAGGTCCAGTGACTGAAGACTGTCCACAAGCTGTCCACAGGAATGGACAGTACCATGGACAGGGCTAGTGAGATCCTAGCCTCAGAACCTTGAAGACAACCAGACAGGGCAGCATCTGAGGGAAGTGACCCAGGGAGCAAGGAAGTACCAGACGGCCAGGCAAACTGCTGCTGCACCCTTTGGCCACAGAGAGGCACTCACAAGCAGGCAGACCCCATTACAGAGATATACAACAGGAATGGGACTGAGGAAAGAACCTGGAATGAGGGAGGGGGAAAGAGAGACGGCAGGAAGGGGAACTCAGGAATAGGTCTGGGACTGGTGCCTGCCTCAGGTACCTCAGGAAGCCAGACGGCCAGGCAAACTGCTGCTGCACCCTTTGGCCACAGAGAGGCACTCACAAGCAGGCAGACCCCATTACAGAGATATACAACAGGAATGGGACTGAGGAAAGAACCTGGAATGAGGGAGGGGGAAAGAGAGACGGCAGGAAGGGGAACTCAGGAATAGGTCTGGGACTGGTGCCTGCCTCAGGTACCTCAGGAAGCTTCGGCTGCCTGGGAGTCCCGGGGGCCCTGGGGGGGGGGGGGAGTCTAGCAGAGGAAACCAAGAGATCAGGTACAGAAGCAGAAGTTGGGGGCTGTAGGGGTGGGGGAGGTGGCTGGTAGCCAGCTCTATACACGTGGCCATGTGCTCCATGACTAATGAGGGACTGGAGGGTCCCACAGGAGATCTTCCCTGATGCACTTTCTGCAGTGGATGTTGTGGAGTCGGGAAGATTGCATCAGAAGTGCTAGATGCACCACACTTGCAGTTGGGTCTACTGTGAAGAAAAGTGACTAACTTTCTAGTGTAGACATACCCAGAGAGAGGCAGAAAGTGAGAGAGGCAGGAGGCCGAGGAGAGCTGAGAGAGAGGGGGGGAGGCAGTAGGAGGAGAGATAGAGAGAGACCAGAGGCTCAGGAGAGAAGACCAAGGTGGAAGAAGGACCTGAAAATCCTGTCTTATGACGGACTAATTGGCTAGTATAAAAATAATAACATAATTTAATGAAGGATTAGGGAATAAAGCTCAAAGCTGTGATTTCCTTACTCATGTCTGCGTTCTTTCCAGGCCTTCTAGTAGATGTTTTTGCATTTATTTTCACTTTTTTCTCAGAAATGTGTTTAATACATATTTCTACTTAGTGAATTATATTTTGAAAGAATAAGATGTGGCGAAGGAAATAGGTATAGAACTATCACCCCTCTTTCCTGGAAGGTTCATGAGCATTATAGAAAAAATTAACTTGAATTTGATCATTATACTTAATGTTACCAAAATTTTAGGAGTACATAGGAAAACAAAAGGCAAAACAATTATATTGATATGCCTTTAAAACATCGGTATTTAGTGGTCCTTTCCTGAAGAAATTAATAATCATTAAGGTTTTACTGTGTGTACTTGTTGGAAACCAAAAATGTAGACACCGTGTAGATTCAAACAGGAGGGTTTATTACACACACCGCTGGCGGAGTGCCACTTTGCCACTTGGGCTCAGCGAACACTGCCAAGTAAATGATTACAATAATAGACTATATAGAGAGCTGATGGGAAGAGAGAGAAATGATGGGGCGGGGAGTTCCCAAGTCCTGGATAGGTTCTAGCAGCAAGAGCCAATAAGCCAAAAGTCTTAAAGATTAAATGGTTCAGGTTAACACAATTGCTAAACACAAGTATACGTCCTTGTCCTCCCCCCAAAAAGTGCGAGGCATAGCTACATTCTGATCAGGATGTGTAGGAATAGTAACAGTGCCTTCCCGATAGGTGTGGTCCATAGGTACTTATCTAGGGTTATAAAGCAAAAACCAAAACAAAGTAAGGTACGCAGTAGCAATTGTTAATAATATATCTTTGGTACATTAGCAAGTTGGGCTTGTAAATGGGGGGCGCAATCTCTAGATCCTTAGCAACAATTCGTGGTTGGCCTTGAGTGTGTCTCTTTTCCATGCAGACTGTGGGGCACCTCGCAGGGCCATAACCTTGGGTTTATATGTGAAATTAATGATAGTGGTATCCAGTTATAGCTTTCCATTTAGTGTTGTGCTGCTTCGCAGCCTCGAGATTAACAATTGGCGTCTATCCAGGGGTCCATACAGCCATCCAGGATCACAGCAAATAGCTTTCCATTTAGTGTTGTGCTGCTTAGCTTATAAACAGACAGGGCTGCTTTTCTGTGTCTGTCCTGTTTTCTCTAAGCTTCTTGTTATCTCTTTTGTTTTCAGCTAGGCCTAGGGCAAGCAAGATGGATGTTCCAAGGGGGGTGGGTTTCTGTCTGGCTACACAAGGGCAGTCATCCCAGGTGACAACTGTGCATGAAGCCTAGCCCTAATCTCTGAGCCAACAGTGAAAGTCTTGGTTCAGATGATGGCGATGTGCTTCGAGCAAGGCCATCTGTTATCTAGACAGCGGATACTTTCCTGCAGGAGCACAGATGTCCCAGGAGAGCATCGCTACCCCCATGTCCCGGGGACAAGCATGCATGGGAAGGTGCCAGCCAGGTCAGGAGCCTGTGGGCGGGAGTGGGGCTCTGCTTCCTTCCACACCAGATCCGGCATTGGTGGCTTCCCTCAGAGAGAGAACTTTTATTCCTGTTTCCTGGAGGAGGAGTGGAGGTGTTGGGGAAGATGTCTGTCAGTGGCAGAAGCCGCTTTCCAGAGACACTGCTACTGGGGTCCCCTCCTCTTCCTTCCCCAACAGGTTCCCATGCAGGGGATCAGTTTCTTCTGCATCACCATGCTTGACTGGGAGCGAGTGCTGCCCGAGTGTAGGCATGAGCCTGTGCCATGTGCAGCACTGCTATGTGTTTGCATGACCCCAGCCTCCTTAGTGGTAGCTTGTCGTGGGAAGGTGCCCCAACACAGATTCTGGAGTAAGGCAGGCCTGCCCAGAAACCTTGTGAGAAGGAGCGATGGGTTCCTGTGTGAGAACGTTGGGATTGGGATTGGTCCTGCCTTGGGCAGGGGGCTGGGCTTGATGGCCTCCTGAGGTCTCTTGCAGCTCTATGGTTCTATGATTCTATGAATGTCATGGAGCTAAGTGCTCTGGACTGGTGCTTCCTGTGTACCCACGTGCACAGGCTGTTGTGCAACTCCCCAGGCCAAGAAGGCCAAGGGAGGAGCCCACAGCTCCTCACAGCTTGCCACTTGCCCCCGTGTGTGTATAGGGAACATTATGGAACTCATCTGAAGTACCTGCCCCAGGATTATCCAAGCCCACAGAGACATCCTGGGAGGGATGGGCCCAGCTCCAAGCTGTGTCCTAGTTGGCCTGTTCCTCCTCCTCTTCTTCCTCCTCCACAATCCCGTCCTCATGAAGGCTGATGTTGGGAATGTCTGGCCAGAGATGACAAAGATGGGGGGAGAGGTGACTGCCCCCCCTCCCAGGATGGCATCCAGCCGCTCATAGAAGCGTCAGGTGTGCAGTGCTGCCCCACAGCATGAGCTTTGCTCCCAGACCTTTTTGTAGGTCTGCTGGAGTTCTTTAATTTTCATCCAGACCTAGTCCAGAGTCCTAGTGTGCCCTTTCTCTGCCAGGCTAGTGGCCATTCAACTGTAGATGTCAGCATTCCGCTTCTTGCTGTGGAGATATTGGATGTTTTTTCTCCTCCCCCCAGACCATGATGAGATCCAGGATCTCCGCACCAGTCCAGGCCAGTGCCCTCTTTCACTCTTGGCCAAGGTCATCAGAGGGTTCTGTGGGTGTGTTGGGAGCCATGGGTGGTGCAGAGGGAGTGCTGGGGTCGGCCATGGATCCACTGACGGGTACTGTGTGGCATGAGGCTAGGAGGGCTTTCCTGGTGCCACAAGCCCTTGCCCTTTTGCTTGCAGCTTTAAACTCTGCAGAAGGGGAGCAGTGGAGCTGTCGGGTGCAGCTGTGAGAGGCCTCTAGAGTGGTCACAAGTGCAGCTGTGAGAGGTCTCTGGAGGCCATTGATTTCAAAATAGCAGCAGCTAAGCGTCCACACCATGCTATTTCGAAATAAGTTTCAAAATAAACATCAATCCTCATGACAAGTAAGAATTATTATTTCAAAAAACCCAGTC